ATACTCATATTTTATAAATTCTCTAGCGAATGAGAACACTAATAGGCATAAGCCTGAAATGTGATATATATATATATATATATATATATAATATGTCGAACGAGAACTTCTTTTGATTATGTGTTCTCGTGTGTAATTACTCCGTAGAGAGACTCACCCTCCTGTCCGAATAGGGGAAATGTCAATAACATTCGGCCATTTCAAAGCCTGTATTCTCTCAAAAATATCATAAAAACAAGTTTCAATATGTCATACTTTATCTTACAGACATTAATTACATACCAAATACATTGAGATTTCCACATGTAGCATTCAAAACAACATCAATTTTGTCATCATCCCCGCCAATAATTATTGTACGACCCATGTGTTTTAAGTCATTTAGTCACTATTCTCTTCATAATTCACACTTTTCACTATCGGAGTCAATCGGAGTCATATCCACCATCATTTATACAGTGAAATGAATGAAAACGTAGGCAGCTTCTGGCCCACAAAAACAGTAATTCTTGAAATCTCTGACTATATCTCCTTATAAGCACATTCGTGAGTACAGTGGTTGGGCTTTATGGGTAACCTGTAATTTCCTAACACTCGCTGTGTTGTCATATACTGAATATGATTCGCCTCCTCCAAATACCTCGGTAAAGTCATCATTAGTTAATGTTAACAATTTTTGTGAGAACAAATGATATTTAGGTCATGAAACTCAAAATCCGACTGCTTAAACTGAGTAGAAGAAGGTTTATAATACAAAAGTAGTAGAGTGAGCAACCAATTACTATCTGTGATTAAATTCAAACTTGAACTGAACGTTCCATACTTCAGTCTAATGGCAGTGTTACGTGTAATCAGCCCAGGTTAATCCCATGAAAGCTAAATATCAAAATACGAATTACGGACCCTTGAGAACTCAATGGAATGCCTAAGAGGGAAACTGATTAATTTGGCATCACACCAATCAAGTTTGGAAGTTTAACAGATGTACAAACTACCGGTGACGACAACCAGCATTTAGTGGGTCGTATACCCAGTTGAATCCAGACACCTGTAAGATTGTAGTGTAATGCGTTCTATTACCTATGCAGTTCGGCTACAAGAAGGCCAGTTCGCTTATCCATCGCAGTTTCTAAAGCTTTGGTGGCTGAAACACTACCAGGTCCTTAAATGCATCCAGAAGATGCAGCTTTGTTGCAAACGTTGGTAAGAGAGTCGAAAATGTGTGACATAGGCTTGTTTCACATATATCATGTAACTTAGGCGTATCGTTTAATACTAATCACGGCGTATGAAGTATAAATAGGCCATTCTAGCAAATAATGTTTATAAAAGTGCTGAACTAAACTTATATCGTAATCAAAATATTCCTGAATGAAGAATAATCACTGATAGCAGACTGATGGCACCAAATCACTAGGGAAATCAGCAAGCCTAACAACAGTTCCCTGTGCGACGTCATTAAACCACGTACATTTCGTAACAGCACAAAGTCAAAAGTGATGCATGTTATTTTTTCGAGATCACCACACATGTGATGACTAGGATTCTCCTACGCACACATGACTCTACTTATATGGACATCAGTTTCAAAGTTGGTGTAATTTGGAACATAATGCTACTACTGAAGGGCAGACATCACACCCATCTAAATTGAGCACAGTAAATGCACTAAACACACACTCAGACTACAGCTAAGACAGGGAAGAACATCAATCCCAAGTGTCAAATAATAATCTTGTGGGATGGCGTTTATTTGTTTCACGCCCATTTAAATGGAATAAAACCCACGAAAAGGATCATTCATTTTAACCTGAGGTATAAATCGTATTCTCTCTGTTATAGTTTCGAGGAGTCAACGCCTTTCAGAATCGTTGCGCCCACTTGTTTATCCACAATGTTACTTCATACACACAGATATTTGTATGTATTTTTGGTAACCAGAGCGAGAATTACTTGTCTCATTACGATTCAACGATTCATGATGTTATCATTCCTAATGTAACTGAGTCAATGAGAGTCAGATTTCAAGTTACCATTCATTCACTCTGTTATAGTTCTTTGAAACGTACTTTCCAGCCTACATCTTTTTGCGTTTCTGATAAGAGTGACTGCTTCTCGTCATATTTTGCTCAATAATGTATGGGTGATGAGCTTATAGTGGTATTACTGAGACTTCATCACTTCATATCAATCAATATTTGTCAAATGACCGCTGCATTACGAAACTGCCTCAGATAAAACTGGCTTAGAATGCACAACAATAAAATATTACTAATTACTTTATTTGTCATTTTACCCAATTAAAACTATCAATGTGAAACTATCGGGTAAGAAATTTTGTCACAAAGATGTGATAAATATCGCCTAACTGAGAAGAAACCTCACTGCACAGTGATTACAAAAAGGTGTTCATCACAGATGAGGAATTTACTTAAAATACAACATGAATTCATGAACAGTATATCTTTACTATGAAATAATGTCCATTGCTGACGATCACAAAAGGGAATGAAAGTCAGGGGATAATTCTTGAGATTAGTGTTGATATCGAGACAGAGAACAGAATCTAATCTTCACTAGTAAAATCACCACTGTTTAAGGTAAATGAATCGATAAAATTCTTCAAAGAATAAACAGCTTTGGGTATCTCCACCAAATGTGTGAAAATCAGTCTGAGTTAACTTAAATGAGCTAATGTGTTGATGTTTATGCATTTAAATGCGAACTTTGATATTGAATATAGAGTTAAACATAAAAACCAGACTGTAAACAACTGAATCCTAAAACACACCATTGTAAACATCATCTAGATGGAGTCAAGTGTAATAAAGTCCAAATACTGTTTACCTTTTATTATCAATAGGTTAATCATTCTCGAGCTGATTCTATGAATAATGTCAATTCATGTATCATCCGCACTGTTCGACTCCCTTCCTTGTTGTTGTTTTCTTCAACTTCTGCACTGAATGACTTCGTTTTCGAAATCATAACGAATAAACTGTCCTTTAACTATTCTTATTCGAGTGTTTGTTTGTAGGGATTTGATTGGTTACAGGATTTTTCAAAATGGGTTGACATTAGTTAGAGAACATTGGAAAACCCAATTCGCTTTCTGTGTAGATGACATCCATGGTGAGATTACCTCCTGGTTTATTTGCGAGAACAAAACTACTTAGGCCACATCACATACGCTGGTCTTCGTCATCATAAACACCATCAACACTAAGACCAGTAAAATTGAAAGATACATCCTAATGTCCCATAGGAGTAATTCGGTACAAAAGTAGTACATGTGATGATTTCATACTGGGAGAACAAATGCCATGTTTGAAATGATTGACAATAATTTCATGAATACATTGTAATTCAAAAACCAATGAAGTAAAAAACCATTGAAAATGAGCTATCTGCTGATGATTTACAGCAACAGACCCACAATTCAGCATGCACATACGTTAGAACACATTTCACGTGCATGGGTAGGTGGGAGCTTTAGAACTGTTTCAGTAGAGTGTGCAGTGTTTAGTTACTTAAACGTATACAGGAGTTCCTCATCTGTGGTAAACTATGACTTGAAGAGATATCGAAGTCAATATCAAAGAGGATGAACATCATTTCCGATATTCTAGCTGTACTTATTTGATTTATTCAGTACCGTCGGCCACACAAATTGCGAATCAACTTCCTGGCGTACTCTACTGTGAAAAAGTTGTGAAATCACCATTACAATATCATGATACACACTGTGCTGTGGGTGGGAATGAGATATGTTGTGCTGTCACAACTTTACAAAACTCAGTTGGATTAATGCACTCGAAAGATGTCTTGAAAGAACTAATCAACCATTCCGAATACCATTCGAAAGAAAAATACAATATTCAGAATGAATTAAGCTCATTTGTTTATATTTTATCTGATACCTTCAGTTTGACAGTCAAATAACTGAGTAGATAAACACAACTTGGACCACCGATATCACGACTAATTCGGACCTTACTGCTTGTATCTGTTTTTGTTTTCAATTTTAATTGCATCAAGTGTGTTTGTTTTTGTGATTTTTATTTGATATCAAAGTTCCTACATCACTTCATTGACGTCGATGCCTATCGTCGTATAAATTAAACTCGGATTGTTTTTTTTAAACAGCATATTATCTTACAACACTATCTGCAAATATTTTTTCGCATGTTTCACTGAAGTACCTACCTTCAGTAATCATGAGTTTGTCAAGAGAGAGGAGGTGAATTTGAATATTATTGGACATATATTTGCATTTTATAACTGTATGCTGTTGCGAACTTCAAATATATTGAGTTATTTTTTTTGTACTGGCCTAATACTTGAAGTGCTTCGTTGTCATGTTTAAGGTCAATATGGTATCTCAGAAAAGCAGCTTCGCCACACCCCTTGACATTACTTTACGATTTATAATTATATAATGACCTTGACATGTCCCTCACAGTGATATACTGAGAAAATGTTACTCAGATATGTAGTGAAATCGACTGGGAAAGTAGTAGGTGTTGGGCAGTTTGGAAATATATTTCGGGGCTATGTGATTCCGAAGGTGGCTGGCAACATGCTGTCCATTTAATGTGACTATTTCTCAATCAAGATTCTGAATGCCGTCATGAGTTGAAATATTAAGTTGACATAAACAAGTATATTGTTGCGAAATACAGTAAATAATTGTGATAGATATTAAACGTCTGTCTGTTCTTGTGGTGACAGCAGGCCGTGAGAAAATATGTACAAGGCTGATTTGACAACCAATCACAGCAGACTTAACGTGGCAAAATATGATTCGCAGATAGAGAACTCTATTTTTCGAGGAATCCCGAAACAACCAATCAGAAGCCTACGTTTGTCTGCTTAACTTCTGATAAACAACTGATCAGATGACTGCGCTTTTCTACTTGCATAAGCTATAATAATGTATGTGAAATATATATAAATACGTGTTGATTTTCATAATAAAACGATCTGTTGCCTGGCCCTTGCCTTCTCTTGTTACATTCTTACCGCATATGTATATATTCAAGCTATGTCGTTGAGTGGCACAATATGTTCAGTAGTTATATCGTTAAGAGAATACTTCAGTGTAAATAGTAAAGTCATCATGATGGTGAGATATGAAATTTAAATGAACACATTCATATTCGGTTAAAGCAACTCTTTGGACAGAGCGAGAGTCAGAGTTTCCCAAAGTAAACTCTGTTAGGAACTATAGTTTTGTAGAAGGCTATCACCAAGAAGAGTGTAAATTCATTCCCTTGACTAATGCAGCTCTATATGGATCAGGTATACAGTAAATTCTCTTTTCTCCCTGAATTTGTCATTATCTCATGGATCCTTCTGAAATATCATCCACTTATTCATATCTACAGGTGAACACTCTTCATCCCAACATTCAGCTGACTCACAGAATGATATGAAAGTATGTCTTAAACTGTTATATTCATAAACAAACTAATGTAGTCTGTTTCCATGGTGGTGTCAGCGCAGCAGCGAAGTAAACAATTTATTTGGAAGGTATGTGATAAATTTTCAGGTCTATTCATTTATTTCTTCTCCCTTGAAGGATTTTCATTGTAGTTGCTGTGCAGATAATAATTTTATGGGTGATATGCGCTATTGTTTTTCCTGTGAAAGTCAAACATTATCGATGAATGTTGTTAATGATATGCTTTCAAGTTTACCACTCAAAACATGGATGGAGGGAACGCCGTGGTTTTCTTGGATGTTTGGGTAGGTGAGACATTCTAATAGTATCCTCATCTAATACACAGCCTTATGCATGATGTAACTCATTAAATCCTAAGACTTTCACGATGACTTTGCGGTGAACACAGAGAATGATGTATTTGGAACAACCAAGCCTACTTCGACTTGGTCCTAAAATAAGCGTAGAATTTGAGAATAGTGTTAATATGAAATATCCTATCAGATAGATATATTTGATTTAACGTACAGTGACAGTTGAGTGACGTCTTCAGCACACTTTCTTGCTCATAATGACATGGATTTATTCAGATGATTTCATAATTTGCTCTACAAACTTTTTTATTCGTCTTCATTACCGTTTTTTGCATCATTTCCAGCACATAATTTTGGTGTTGACTCGATAAACAAACCTTTGGCAATTAACCCTATTATACCACCCAGATTTAAAGCGTTATAATACCTTCTCCCTGTCCCACCATACTCAGCAATTATATGCAAGTGAATTCATTGTAACCGCTGAGACTCTTCATGAATTATCAAACTCATTAGGATCTATCATTCTAGGTCCAGCTGATGTTACAGCCTAGAATATTTAATCTTCCCTGTGTAAGTTTTCTAAATCGAAAGTAAACTAAATCCCATCTAGCTATGAGTTCATACGGGTGTAGAAGTTGGTGATATATTCAGGTTTCAACACAGTGCACATGTCACCCACGTCACCTCACCATAACGTATGAACAGCAGTAAACGTACTAGTCGCCCTGAGTTCCGAAACATCCATAAATATCTCTGCAACTATTGAGAATATCATTGATTCAGCTGTTAATCCACTTAAATGTTTTCACATCTTTTTTTGCTTTTGTGATGACAGATGCCTAGGGACTTTTATTCAACTGGAGATAATTTTAATACCACAGTTTCAATTTGCCTTCCTGTTCAATTATATCGTCTTGATAACTGCTGTAAGCGAAATGCAGTTTTTGATCGATGTTTTATGTCAGGTGTTGGTGGTTTCAAAGATACGATTGGTCTCAGGATTTCCTCATGATTGCAGTATTCAACTTTGGCATGTAAATCTTTTTCTTGAGTCTCCCTGATGCTAAAAATACACATTCACACTATTCAGCATATTACAATGTTGAAGTGGAAATTGAATGAATATAACGTGAATTAATACTCCATAAATGTCACTTGATATAATTTTTATTGAAGTTTTTAATTAAGTATAATAGAGAATAAACAGATGAATAAATCGAGGTACACATATGTTCACATTTTATTAGTAACACATTATTGAGCTGTTAGCCTGGATGGGATACATATTATTAGATCCACACAGAATGTGCATTTCATCAATACGTTTTTTGAAAGGGTCCCAAAAACATTATCATCTCGCGCAAAGATTTGAACAAAATTAACGAAGACAACCAAACAATGTGAATAATAAGTGAATTCACATTAATTATAGAGGAGATGTGAAAATAATCAGTCTCTTGAAATTAGGCGTTAACAATAATTAGACTTTCCTCCTTGACTGTCTCTTCAGACGAGTTTTCCAATGGTGTACATTCGAATTCAATGATCTTGCTGACTGTTTATTTAATATCAAAGTCCTTCATTTTAATTCTTCTAAAATCACGTTTTAATTAATTTAAATTGATAAAGAATAATTTTCATGGATTTTCTGTGACTTCAAATGTTTCAACTTTATTCTCTAATGGTGTCGGCTAATATATCCATCAGATGTTGGGCTGACGATAGGGTGATTGCTGTCTTGATTCGTGCACCACACTTGAAATGATTCGAGTTGATTCTATTTATTTTTTATTTGTTTTTTTTTTATTTTTGGTTACAGCTTGATTCCACACTGTATTTTTGGCACAAGTATGGAATTTTCAGCATGGATACCGGTAGCCCAAATTTTGCAGGCCAACCATTGATATCAGGTGTGCGTCGGCAGGGGATCGAACCTCGGACCATGTGCATGGTCGACGAGAGTCCTAACCTCTACCATCACTAATAAGAATGCAGGCAGTAGGATTTCACATGGGAAGTCAGTGATTCTTTAGTGTAAAGACTGATTAATAATATTGATATCTGATGCCATTTTATCCTCAAAGAACACGCAAATAAACAAAGAAGATAGTCTGAACCCAGCTGATTGAAAAATTTCTCGCTTTATAATGTGAGAATGCATTATATACAGTTATCACTGCTTCTTCAGGGCTTGCTTGTTATTTCCCTTAAAATTCTGTACACCTTGTTTGAGTTAGATTCTCTGCCTCGTTAAATTCCGATGTTGTTACAGCAATCAAGGTTTGCGATTCGTTTGATACCATGCAGTGATAGTTACGGTGCATGGATGCTCGAAATTCTAATAATGTTAACTGTAGTTCCGCCTCCTACATGTCTCAATTTGCACATAACCCTCCTTGAGGTTGTGCAGATTCATTTATGTTAGGTCAATATTGTGGGGAGAGGACAGGTGTCTTTCCTTTCATATATGTCACTAGTTTCTCGTTCCGATTCCTACACTCATCACACATTCCGATCTGTTACTATGATTTTCATAACGCCATGAGCATCGACTGTAGGTATAATTAGCACCTCAGTTACAGTCTTAGATAGCAACTCTTTAATCAGTGTGTAGCATGTACTCAACATGCAGCGTACTTTTTCTGTTATGCCGTGTATTGATTAACAGTCAGTGTCTAGAGGAAAATCTCCCTTACGTCTATAGATTACAAGTCGTCAAGCGATGTTACAGGAATCGATTGCCTCTGTGATCAGTTGCAGTGGGCAACACTCACTTATGGCCATTTTATGGGCGCTTTGGACAAAAATTGCAATATCATCTCCCTTATTAGGTGAGCACACAGATAGGCTCAAAAGTGTGGATGTTTTTGGGAACCCTGTTGAAGGGAATCTTGCACCACCTTCCAACGAAGGCACTTCTAAATCATCGTCATCCAGATTCTTTCAAAATTCGTCCAGGAAACCATAAGGCCATCTGAACAGAGTGTGAGAATGCGTGTTAATCCATTCTCAATTTGTGATGATATTCTGACAGCTGAAAGATGTCAACTGACATTTTGGCTTACAATCAATTTTCACAGAACCCCACATTTTGGAACACTATCAGATAATACGGTATGTTTTCAGCTGTCTTAGTGTGGAATGATTTTACCTTGATCCCTTTGTCCTTTATGACAAATGATAATACAACAATGTTATTTCAGTATTCAGGTTTCGTCATATGAATTTTGCATGTTTTGAGAAATGTTACTTTTCCAGTGCTAAAGAGTTACTCGCTTCAATCTGTGTTTCGTTGGGACTATGACAATAATTTCTGAGTATTTTTCAAATTCTGTTATCATTCATATCTTATTTTCATTAGTTTCAGCCGTGCACATGTGATCTCAGTGTACAGTGTACATAATACGATGGCATTTTAAACACACACTATGTACATATTTATTACCATTTACCCTTAATTCTGAATTGCATCGTGTAACGATGTTTTGTCGAATGGAATTTAACATGTTTGTGTGTCCTGCTACCTACCAACAATCCTCAATCTGATAATTATTTGTCGTGAAAAGTTCTAGGGAATTCGAAGTATTCTGATTGACTGTATAATCTCACATAAGTCAAAGTTATATCATCTACATCAGAGTTCTATGCGCTGCAGTCGCGATAGCCAAGCCATCGAGTAAAACCCAAAAAAGAAGTTTGAGACGTTACGGGCAAGCTTGATGTGACACAGCTTTTTGAAACCACAAGTGATATCTGTAATAAATACAACCTGGAATCGGAGTGTTTAGTATACTTTCTTGAATTGCTCATTTTACATTCTGTCATGCACAACATGTTTTTAACGAATCCTCCCTAGGTCATTGCAATCCTGCCTTCAGGTTGAACGGATTTCTGTGAATTTTAAAAACTGAACCACGAAGAGAATAAAAGACAATTCAGAGAAGAAAATGTTTTTTATCCAAGAAATCTTCAGAGGCAGTACAGTCGTACTTATATTTACCGAGAACCCATAGTAGTCCACTATTACGTATTCGGCGTGTGTGTGTGTGCAATACAATTGATATAATTACACCGGAGTGGTTTCAAACACCATTCTTCTCACTCAGTGAGGTATCCCCTGAGCCCTAGGTTTGCAGACTGATTCGTGGCAAGTCTAAAGAATAATATCTTACAACCGACTATCAATATTTTTTATATGTGCCAAAAACACATGAATGAAACATTGTCATATGTGACGGGAACGCTAAAATCAAATGATGACCAAGGATTTCTACGACTGCCATCATACTTCTCAGATCATGCCGAGATCCAACACGACATAGGAACCCGATTATATGTATGATTTGCAAAAAAGGGTATCTGATGGCTCTCTTCAGATATCGGTCTACAGGAAATCTTCATGGAATGGTCAATACACGAATATTCATATTTGACTTACTAACAATCGACAGTAAACCGGAAAGACAAACAAATGCGCAAAGAAAATGCATATCCTTCAGGATGTAGGTAAAGCAAAAGTCTGAAACGACGCGATTGTTGTCAAAGAAACTGCCGTTTATGAACGTTGAATTCAAAAGTGACACCACAGTTGAGATTCTGAAGTACCACTTGCCAAGATCACTTAGAAAAGCCCTCTTTTTTGTTTAGCCACGCATCAGTTTCTACATCTGACAGACGATCAGTTGATGTGTGAAAGATTACCCTCAATGTTGAGCCAATTCAGTGTGTGTTTATAAATTCATTGGTTCCTTCGGAGTTAGTTACACTGGCCGCACAAAGCGTACACTTTCCAAGCGCATCTCTGAACCTGATTCATTATGGTTAACAAAAAGACAATGCACAACAATCACTGGCTCAGTTACTGAACACTTGGTCATTTCAAGCTACTTAGCTCCACCAGCAAAGTCGTCTTTCAAGATTATTTGTGGATTGAGACTGAATGGCAGAGTGGCGTTAGTTAATGACATTTGTGTATGTCGGAGGCGCTAACGATTCGTCAAAATAACCATAAACTCCGTACACAGCATAACTTTGTCCAGTGTCTTATTCTACCATAGTCTTAACCTCTTCATTATTTGTCACCTGTATTTTTTCTATCTTTAAATAATAACTTAACTGCTATCACTCTAACATGTTGCTTTTGTAAATTTTGTCACCCTCTTAACACTTGTTAAATGGACTCTCAACTGCCTTTCTTCTCATTCAGTATTAATTTTAACCTTATCAGATTTCTAACCCTTTCTTTCTTCGTTCTGATGAGTATTGTTTAGTTTTTAATTTTGCTTTTCATGCTATTTTTGAGTAAATATATCAATAATGTCTCAGACAAACTCCGTATTACTCAATAATGGACTACTAAAGTAACTACAGACAACCCATTGGAATGCATGGACCAGCTTCTAGCAGACTGCCACCAACCAAGTAACATGAAACAAAACTGTGGAAAATTTCTGACTGATATCTGATTTATGTTGAATTGAGTTGGGCTGAAAAACGGATCTTTCTTTCGCTTCATTTATATGTGAGTAAGGAACTCAGTTTTATTTGAAATTTATGCTTACAAGCTAGTTCAAAGCTCATATGAGACTAGTAACCAAAATTGCTTCTTCCTGATGTATCGAGTTAATATAAAACACATAAGATTCGAAATGGATTTATCATGTAACAATACTGTTCCCATTGAAATGTTAACATAAATACAATGAAATTTTTCATCATCGACATAATGGAAATGAATTTCTCGTCATTCTTATGGATGAGTATGCATTGATGAAACTAATGGAGCAGAACTCTTCGCATTGTCCGTACCATTTATTAACACGCAAATAATCGCCAGCTCCGTTGAAACTATCAACTTCAGCCAGATAATTAACATGGTATTTATCAAACCACAAAGTATGTGTTGATTAGGTTGAAACGTAAATCTCCTGTCACCAAGAACAGCTTGAACAACGCATGCCATCTCCTGAAAGTAGAGGAAAATCAATTTAAAGATAACTTCTATCATGTTAACAATGTTTGTTGTTATAGGACCAGACTGAAAAAGATTTAAGTATTGTCAAGTCAAACCTTGACATCTATCAAACATAAGGTCAACCTCCGGTAAGGACACCGGGTAGAGGTAGGGTTAGAATGGCTGTTAATGTTCACCGAGAAGCGAAGAACGAAAAACAAGAAAGTTATGGTGAATTTGATGGAAACCGTTTTGTGAAGGCGCAGACGCCTTTCCTACACACTCAGTGATTACTGCATGATTGGTTACAACACGAAAGGAATGATTGTCCTTAAAGCCTATAGAAAGCCAACGCTAATATTAGTCACTTTTTACAAAAAGCAACTCACAGCTGATTACTTACGTCGATCTGTTGGAAATGAATGAAGGGGAAGAATATTACACAATAGAATATTTGCACGAGGAATGTGGTGAATACGAGCTTCCTAAGACTCTTAAGCATGTCGAATCTTTTGAAGGCACTAGAAGTCATGGCAGTCACTGTGATGACCATGGTAATCATCCATGTGACAAGTATCATCCAGGTTTCCATATTGATCAGCGGTAGAGCAGCGACAAATGAAATGATGATTGTCTGAATAGGTAAACAGTAAGAAAGTAGAAATGTTAAACAGTAGTATGTAGGATTTATTCGTAAAAGTTAAAAGTATGTGG